ATAGGTTTGGAAAATACACAATGCATAACTATGTGGTTTGGATTGGGAATATAAAAATGTTGTAATTTTAAGCTTATGAATTTACTGACATTTGGGAAATGTTGGCATCGAAATAATAAACACAATAATGCATAATAAACATAGTGTTAAAAAAAGGGGACTTAAAGGAACTAAACGAATAATTTGAATAAGTGGAATTAATTTTGCATATGCAATGTTTAGACAATTGTGATTTGATTATGTGGTGATTGTGTTTTGGTTATGCGAGCGAACCTTGTTGTAGATACAGAGAAAGTAGCACACATATAAGTTGGGGTATGGTGACAACTAACTGATTATGGCACTCAAACGGGTTAGGGTACAAGGACAACCAACTGTTGTTTAGTACCCACATATAAAGGGGATCCCTATGAACCCTAAATAATATCGGTTAAAAGGTATCATGCGATGAAAATTACAAGTTAAATAAAATCTGAATCTCAAATTGATAAAAAAAAAGACTGATTTTATGTATGTAGTATATATGAATACGAAATTCGATAGGTTATGATGGTATTTGTAAATGAGAATCAAATTATCCAAATATGATTATGATATGATTTGATAGTGGTTGTGAACAAAAAATTAAGAGTAAAGTTGAATGGGTCCTTTAAAGGACAGGTAAATCAGCTTAGCTGGACCAATAGGTGAACCCTACTGTGGATATGGTATTAACCCATCATCGTTTCGGTTATCAGTGGTGGTATGGATTAGGGTATAAGGATGACTGATAATTGTGGCACCCATATAGATTGGGGTTTGGGGACAACCAATTTGTATGACGTTCATATGGGTAAATGTATGAGGACAATCAATGATGGTGGAGCTTATACGGGTTGGGGTATTAGGACGACCAACTATTGTTTTGTATCCACATGTAGTGGGGATCCTCGTGAGCCCTCAATGATACAGGTCAATAATGTTATGTGATGGAGTGTAAAAGTAGGTGAAATTCTAATTTCAAGGTAGGATGGTAAAGGATGAGTGATTTGATTTTATTGAAATGTATTATTTTTGAAATATGAATGTGTTTGGATGACTATTTTTATTGAGAATGAAATGTTTTGTTTAATGTGTATGGAAATGAAATGAAAGAGTTTCTAAATTAAAAGTGAATATTACTAAAATTACATTCCATTGGTAGTTTTACTGTTTTCTATAATGCTTTATTGAGCCATTATGATTTTTTATTTTTATATCCTTACTGAGCAATAAGGTGTTCACTTAAATTACTATTTCAATTTTTCATATTAGGATAGACTATCAAGAAG